TATAATCTGTATAAATTGGCTCACAAGTGTGTAAATGATATATCAACAAAAGCAATCTCCTTCTACTCGAATTCTACTGTATTTCTCAGTATTGTATCGGAGTAGTAGTAAGATGTGCCACACAACAACCTTCCCAGATCCTTCTACTAAAAACTAAAGGCCCCAACCTCATCCTCTAATGTCCCCTTGTCACTATCAACATCTTCACTACATCACCTTATTGTTGCCTGTCCAATCAAACTTAAGCCCATTAATTATTTTATATGAAGAACACATATGTTACAACTCACGCAGGCCATAGAAGTAATCAATGAAAGCATTCCTGATGTAAGTGATTTCGCTACTGCAGGGGATAGTGCATTGGCTGCTAAAGCCAGTAGTGGAAAAGCAGTTGATGATGACTAGGAGGAGAAGGATGTATTTCTAAGGACTTGGATTTCAGGAACCAAGACTAAAGAGAGCATATATCTTATTATAGGATACTCAACACCCAAGGAGATGTAGGAATGCTCAGAGGAAGCCTACCTTCAAGCAACTAAGGACGAAGAGTTCCAACTTAAATAACAGTTGCAAAATATTAAGTTGGGAACAAAAACTCTTGATGAATATATGAAGGAATTTAAGGGCATCTGTGATGGACTTGCATCCATACATAAGCCAATTGATGAAGACAACAAAGTTATTAACTTTGTCAGAGAAACAGGTCCTAAATATAGAACTTTTAGGACAGTGATGCTACTTAGAGGCTTTGACATGAGAGAAGAGAAGAAGAAGAAGAAGAAAAAGAAATGCCTCAACAAAACTACAACATGGCATTTACTGCACAAAGAGGTAGAGGTCAAGGAAACTTTAATCAGAAGAGAGGCAACAACAACTTCAATTCAAGGGGTAGAGGTTTCAGGCCTACTGGTCAAGGCAACACTAACCAGAATAATCAAACTGTGCAATCTACAAATTCTGAAAAGGGAAAGGTTTTCACTGATGCTTGTCAAATTTGTGGTAGAAATAACCTTACTGCCTTGAAATATTTTTACAGGTGGGACTATTCCTATCAATATGCAGAAGATCTTCTATAAGCTTTAGTAGTTGTTAATCTACAAAACACTGCTGGTGAGAATGATACAATGTATGTGAATTCTAGTGCAATTTTCCATATGACCAACTCAACGGGGAATTTATCCAGCCTTCAGACTTACAAATGGAACATGCAAGATAGTCGTGGGGGATAGCTCACAATTAGCAATCACACATGTGGGAAATACCGTGGAGTCAGGATTGAAAGTTAAGGAAATGCTTGTTGTTCCTAATATAAAAAAGAATCTTCTGTCAGTAGACAATTTTTGTACTCTTGAGTTTGATGATTCTGGTTTTCTTGTTAAGGACAAGAAGTCGGGGAAACCAATGACCAGGGGAGATAAGAGAGGAGGACTATATGCATTAGAAGATAACAACATCTATGCCTTGACTGCATCACAGGATTGGAAGAAGACAGATAGTATTTAACATTCTAGATTGGGGCACCCTAGTTTAAAGTCTTTAAAGTTTTTGAGTAGCAATAAATCTATTGATATTAGAAGTTGGAATAAATTGCCTACTATTTGTACCAGTTACAAGTTAGGAAAAAGTTGTAAGCTTCTTTTTGAATTGAGAAATAAAATTGAGAAGGGAACTTTGCATAAAATTCATAATGATATCTGGGGTCCAGCTTCTGTTCACACTACTAGAAATTCGGTAAAAATTGACAAACGTTGGTCGGTAATGGCCAAAAATCAATCAAAACGCGACCATTTACATGTGGACGGTATTTTTGTGGTCGGAAAGGAATACCGACCAAAGTTGGTTGGAAATTACCGACCAAAGTTGGTCGGTATTTTAATTATGTAATAAAAAATTCACCATCTGGGAATCGAACCGGGGTCTGTACTGTGGCAGAATACTAATATACCACTAGACCATTGGTACATTTTGTTTTAAGACTGTCTTTTATTTGATTTATACTCTTTAATTATATTTTCGCACGAAAATAACCGACCAAAGTTGGTTGGTTTTATTAAAAAGTAAAATTACCGACCAAAGTTGGTCGGTTTTTTTAAATGACCCGCCGAATTAACCGACCAATTTTGGTCAGATTTTTTAATATTAATTTTTATTTATTTTAATTGAAAAACCGACCAAAGTTGGTCGGTTTCTTGA